GACACCGTTTTCGGGGTACCCTTAAACGCCACTGTGTGGACCATTCTCAGAGAGGGACCTACGAAAAGAACATGCGACAAAGGTTGAAGTAGCGCACGGCGACCGGTGATTTGGCGGCGCCAGGGCCAAGCGCGGGACGACCCTGGGTGTCAATGGATTGCGCAAATGAAGCGAGTGTGTGGTGGAGGAAGCAGCAGCAAGAAGCGAGGAAGCAGTGCGTCAGAAGCTGGACGCTCCCGGTGCCAACTTGACAACGACTGACCCGGGCCTAATCCAGCGCCTCTACTGTTGTCTTGGTGTTGGATGACTGGGAATGCGGTCGCTAGAGGCCATACGTCGCTGTACAGACGAGGCACGGAGCAGGTTTATTTCACTCGTCTCGTTTCTGACAAGTGGTGCAGCAACGAGCTGCCAGTCGCGCCACACTGACGTCCAGGGTCTGGGGTCTCGGTCATGGCTCTGCCACCGCTACGATTGAGGTACTACGAGTGCTGCGATAAAGAGGCGGTGAGGGCATGTACTAGTACTAGTATAGGTGCGCTGCGACGGAAGAGCAATGTGGCGGCATCGCATCTCGACAGCGTCGCAAGCTATCGATGGTAGTATGTTGCATAGGACAGTGGCGCGACCCAGCCGCGTCTACGACTGCAGATTCGATTGGCACTGCGACGGGCGCGCGTGGCCGCAAGCATTCTATCTGCACAATGGTTCGCTTGACGACCTTGACACGCACATTTGCAACAAGATTCTGTCGAACGAAATATGCTGCATGAGTCTCGGGGTCATTTCGTATCTGACGTTAGCTGCTATCGTCTTGGAACGAAAAGAAGGTCACTCGGCCTCCCACAATTACCTTTTTCCATTGTGCAATGTCTCTAGCGCCATGGTATGAAAGATGCGTCCTGTGCAGTGGCCCATGCTAACTGCGACAGCGCTCCCAGCTGCGTTCTGCGTAGACTCACAAGGTGCTTCTGTTCTAACAGTGTAAAACGCAACGGCACAAAGCTGTACCCAAGCGTCTGAGAGCTTTTAAGAGGCTTACGTTTGCATTTGGATGGCGTGGACGACGCGACGACCAGTAGGATCGAGGAAAGGACAAGAAAATATCCATAGGGAAAAGGCCCCAGATCCCGTAAAATCATCAAGAACGAGAATTCTCGCAGAAATGCCGCCCCGACTCAACGTGGAAAATGGCGGCTTGGATCATGGTTACATCCTCTTTCCGATGGAAGCACGATATGCATTTAGCACCCCACGGATGCATTCAGTGTGCATGGCCTCGCATTGAGGATCGTCTCGGATTGTAGCTTGCTGCCAGCAATGACGTCCCACACAGACGAGCAATCTTCATATTTCGTCCGCACACGGGTCGTGACGATGGACGAGGGCTCGTCATGCATAGCACCGGTAGTCGCCAGAGAGCGACTGCAGCTCCGGAAAGACCCAAGCGCAGCTTTACCGCTATGCGCACTTCTTGCGACGGATCCGTTGACATTGTACTCGCACCTTGACAGCAGCGTGCCAGAGGCGGGATGCCCTTGAAGGGAAGGGCAAGCGCATTGACTCTCGCCGCCCAACAGAAGTGTCCGTATACTGAGCACGCAAACGCTCACTTTTACATAGCAGTGACTCAAACTGGCACGATCCTGCGTCGAGAGGCATCGCTTCATGCCCCCAGTGAGCCATCATCGCTAAATAGCGGGATTTCGCGCCAATTTCACAGCAAAATCTAAACACACGCCACCTAAGCCGTACTTGCCAACACTTTAGGGTTATACACACTTTGTGCACTCGGCATTTTTACATGAGTCCTCTCAATACGACACGCATTTCCGTGTTGAGCGTGCAGACACAAGTGAACAGCACCAAATATGTCCAGCGACTGAGCCAAGGCGTGGTCAAGTTGCGTGGAATTACCCTACCCAATCTATGGCGTGCGACGCGCAACTTAAACGAATGGATCATACAATGGTGCAGTCCACGCAATTAAAATACACTTTTCTAAAACGCAATATTCAAATTGGCATACAAATACTACATACAAGCAACAGCAAATTCAATATATATCGAATTAAAGTACGGACGGAATTCAATGTCGTCGAAACGATTGGCTCCAACTCCCGAGTGGGGTATCCGCGGGTCGCTCATTCCTGTTGAAGCACCCGCTTACGCCCGCGCCACGCCATGCAGCACGACGAAGTTATCTGGGGCGTCATCTCCAACCAGTTCTGCTCGTTCAAGAGCAAGTACGTCTGCCGTACATATCGCCGCCACGGAAGGCTAAGTGCTTATTTAGGCTGCGCGAAGGCGCCATGTTCTGCCGCAACGAGTACAACGTCACGGGCCTCTGCAATCGGTGCGGCCGCCATCGCCGTGTCGCTTGGTAGCTCATGGCGACGATGCTAGGCAATCGTGCCCGCTGGCCAACTCGCGCTACGCCACGATCCGCGAACACAACGGCGTGTGCTACCTGTACATGAAGACGATCGAGCGCGCGCATTCGCCCAAGAACCTCTGGGAAAAGGTCAAGCTCTCCAAGAACTACACCAAGTCGCTGGAGCAGATCGACGCTCAAATGGTACAATTCACGCCTTGATGACGGCAGCGAATGACGACGTCGTGTAGCAATTCTGGCCCAAGAAGCTCATCCATCGCAACAAGCAGCGCTTGACCAAGATCCACCAGTACCTCATGCGCATGCGCAAGCTCCGCCTCAAGACCAAGCCCAACCTTGTCGTCATCAACAAGAAGATCGAGCGCCGTGAAGCCCGCCGTGAAGAGAAGGCCAAGACCGCCGCCAAGCTCGGTGCGCTGCGATGCAAGGACGATCATCGCTCATGCTATGTATGCGTTTAGACTCGTCGATCGAGAAGGAGCTGCTGCAGCGTCTCCAGAAGGGCACGTACGGCGATATTTATAACTTTCCCGAGCGCGAGTTTGCCAAGGTGCTCGACGACAACGAGGTGCGATATCAAGCCATGGACATGCTCGGATGCTCAAA